CGAGCGCAACCTACGCAATCACATCTCTATCAATATCCAACAATTAGGGCAAACACTAACAATTAGAGTCATGGTCTAAAGGATACAATAATATTATTCTTGACAGAGTCAACTTGAATGTAAGATCAATTGTAGAATAGGAATAGAAGGCTTCTACCTGCTAACTTTTGTGCCTTTATAAGTGTAAAGAACTTTTCTTCTCTGTTAACTCTCTATTTTGTTATCCATTCTCATCACTGTAAATTTGTTCAATGGAAAATTCTCTTATCATGTTTCAAAGTGTTGAGCAGATTTCCTCTAGAGACAATTTGGGTGCAATGCCAAAATTAGTTTTATTCAATGGAGAATTATATATATTATAGATTTAAACTTTTTTTATAAAATAATAGAATAAGATAATTGTATATGTTATATATTACTATGTAAATTATACGAAGAACTGACTAAACAATCCATTAAAATGTTATAATAATAATTAAGTAATAGCTTGTTAAAAATAAAATAAAATAAAGGAAGAAAGTGAGATAAGGTTGCACATGGGAAGCTGCAGACCTTATCCCATCTGAGAATCACTTTATAGAAAAATATGGAATGAAAAGTGAGAAACTAATGTAATTGGAATATGTTTAAAGGAATTTATTGAAACTTTGACTAAATTAATTATTACAATAACTCTTATAAATAGGTAAGTGAGGTGAATGAAAAAAAACAGACGTAAGAAGAGATAGATTAAATCAGTGCAATGAGAACAGAGAGATAATCTTTAAAATGTTTAAATTCAGATTGAGTGTATCATCACTAGGAAACGAGACATTTATTATTTATTTATAATTATTTATATATATTTATATTAAGTAAGATGTCTTTAATCTCATTTTAATTTTTGTTTACTTCTAACTACATATTCGTTCTATTTTATCTATATTTATCTCCACTTGTCTTATTTATTTATTTATATTTATCTTGAATTATACATTAGTTTGATTTATTTAGTCATATTTATTTCACTAATCTTATTTATTTAATCATATTTATCTTCAGTTATGCATTGCTCTTATTTATTTATTTTTATTTATATATTATTTGTTTTGGTGTCAAATATAATAATAATAATAAATATTATTATTATTATTATAAAATGATGAAAGTTATAATAAATAAAGATTTAATTATTGTCGTGGGATGTAACTTGAGAATTTAAACGAGGGAGTTTTATTCAAAATAAGATGTTTTTAAGTTATGTTTGCGATAGATAAAAGAATCATACGGCATACTTTCGTGTATTAGCTAAAATATTATGTGTTGATTTTTTAATAATCATATAAACTTTAAAGGGACATATTTCTCAACACTTATGACTGCTCCAATAACAATTAAAGTAATTATGTTAAACAAAGGTAGAAGACATATTTATAAACTTATTGAATATATTTTTATTTTATCAAAACTCAAGTATAATGTAGTCATCTATCAAATAATAATTAAAGAAAATCAAATTATCAATTAATTGGTAAGGGACGTCTCAACGATGTCTGATCAAATTTGGAAAAGTTAAACGAACATGTAGCAAAAACTTTCAAAATCTTATTCTACGTAATTTCGTTGAGCGAAAATGGTTAAGCGAATTTTTCTAATAAAGGTACTTTAAAAAAGGTTTAAAAGAGATTAAGTTGGTCTTTTACCTAATACCTCTAAACAAAAATTTCAGAATGGTATCTCCTTGAAAAAGGGAGAGATATGTAAAGTAGTTAAAACATTTAATAGTATATATTAGCATATAATTTTGAAAGTAATAACATGTTAAAGGTAGCCACTTTTCATATGTGATAATAGATGAATTTGTCTAAATTATATTATTTTAAAAATACAAATATACAATATTATTGTAGTTTAAATTAACACATACAAATTAACTTTATATTTTTATTATTAGTTATAATAGAATAATTTAATATGAAAATGTAATAATTATTTTAGTTTATGCAATATGCATTAATTAATGAATTAAAATCTAAAAAATATGTATATAATTAAATATATTTGTAATATATATATATATATATATAACTTAAAAGTTAAAAGAAAAATAAATAAAAAATTGACAAATCACAAATTCAAGCCCATTTTACTACAAAAATATAAATATACAAAATAAAATTTTAAGTTGGTATTAAATAATTAATATTTCTCTAGTCTATAATTCTATTTTAAAGTTAATTAGATTTTGTTAAATGTATAAATAAAAACCATCTAAATAAAATTTAATAAATAAATAATTACGTGAATTGAATTACAGCATCAAAAAGAATAATTAAAATAATGATACTTGCTGACTTTAAAGATAAGTAAATATTTTTTCTGTCCCTAATTATCTATTTTTGTGTAATACTTTTTGCGAAAAAAGTAAGTTATACTCATACGGTATAACTTCTTTTTTTTTTTTTTTTTTAAGATTTTCTTGTGGATATTCGAATTAAAATTGTGATTTGTGTTATTAGCATAAATATAAAGCTGAATCACATTTAAAATAAAAAGTACATTCCAATATTGAATCCTCTTCTCTACACTTAAATGGCGCCAAAGAAACAAGGCAGTAGAAAAAAAGGCTCTGCGGCTTCCTCTAGAAAGTCCCCCTCCACATCGTCATGCCCCCCTACGTCATCTTCTGGCCACCCTACGTCATCTTCTGGCCACCCTACGTCATCTTCTCGCCACCCTACGTCATCGCCAGGCCACCCAACGTCATCGTCGTCTACCCGCAATGCGTCCGCATCAACACCATCGCCACCCAATTCGTTTTCCGTATCGCAACCGGTGCCATTCTCAACATCACCACCGGTGACGTCGCTGCCGTCAGCATCGGTGCCGTCGGACAGTTCGCCATCGGCCAGTTCGCCGTCGGCGTCAACAGTCACTACGACTACCGTGTCCACCTCGACTTCGGCATCCGCAACGACATCATTGTCCGCGGCATCGGCGGCGTCGTCCACGTTGGCTTCGGCCGCAACGTCAGCGATGTCATCTCTATCAATATCCGACGACCTAACTATTACCGACGAAATACCAATTAAGCTGAACGGCATGAATTATCTTGAATGGAATGAGAAAGTTGAAGCTGTCTTGAAAGCGCGCAATCTGCTAGAGTTCGTGGAGAAGATCTTCGATCCTGAACCGTACGCAAGCGAGAGCGATCGCACGCAGAACAACGAAAGCGAAAAGTTCCGGCGATGGTTTGTTCAAGATCAGATATTGCGCACGTGGTTGTTATCGTCTATGCGCAAAGACCTTGCTTCTTTGATGGCCGGATGCCAATACTCGTGGCAGGTTTGGGAAACGGTGAAAGAACTCTTCCATTCTCATTTGGCGGTGAGGGTTTGGCAACTTAGGTCAGAGCTGGGGACAATAAGGAAAGGAAATTTGTCTGTGTCTGAGTACGTTGGCAAGATCCAAAGCATTGTTGATTCTTTGGCTGAAACAGGTAATCCTGTGTCTGAAGAAGATCACGTTGAAGCGGTCTTGGCAGGATTGCCAAGGGAGTTTGACTCGGTCGTCAAAATGGCGCGAATGTTTGAGGGTCTCACTCCTATCGCAGTTAGTAATATTGAAACCTGGTGTTTAGTCTTAGAAGAGAAATATACAAGTGAATATCGCCATGTTGACGGTGGAGGAGGCCCTTCAACTCAAGATGACGAACCATCTTGCTCCCCTGAGTGTTCTACTGCTGAAAGAGGTCGTGGAAGTCGTAGACGAAGAGGCCATGGTCGCGGTGGCCGCCATCGAGGCAGGAACTAGGTTTTTCTTTTCTTTCTCGTTCTTCTTTTTTTTTTCTTTCAGAAAATTTAAGCCCTACAAATGTTTTAGTCCCAATAAATGAATCTCCACGTATTATCATAGGTTTCTTCCCTCGGATAAGCTTCTGCTTTATGTTGCATGGCGTTCCGTATAACGATTTGGTCATTTACGTTTTGTGGTCTCACTTTAGGTATTTTACACGCTATTCTTGAACTTTATTTGATCAAGAACTCCATTATCAAGTTACTATTTCTTTGGTTCAGCTACTTTAGGTGTGTGTAATTTCTTTGCGGTAGTTAGTTCTACTTTAGTTATTAATTATTAGATCGTAAGTTTAAACTTCGCTAAATCAGTTTGTTAATAGTTGGTTCTATCTGTTCATCTGCATGACTGATAGTTATTGATGGAATCTTTCAGGTTAACAATCACTGGCTCGACGCAGAAGCTTGAATCCGGTCAAAAAGAATGTCATTCTGGTTGGAGGGATTATCTTGATATTAGTTACTGGGAATCTAAACATGAGATTGGAGAACTCGTCAAACAAAGGCATGCAAAACGTCATTTCTTGTGTTATCTTATGAATGTAGTTAGCAGTTGCACGCTATCATTACTAAGATAACCTTGTTTTGACAGTACATTACACAGTACTAGTATCATAACTGCCTCATGTGTAATATCATTTTCTCAACTACATCTGTAAAATAGACAAAAACAGAATATAAGAACATACCAATATTGCATTTTTAGAAGAGTACTTTTTTAGAAATTGGTGGGTCCTGTGTCATCTCTGCTTATAAGAACTTTAGTCAATTTTCTCCAAAAGTATAATTGAAACGTGTCCTTCAAGAATAATTACTTGATATATTGAGAATTGCAGTTAGTCATGTAACTAACTAATAACTGTCAAGGTAATAATTGTTATAATATTTTATACATAAATTTTGTTAATTCACATATTCATATTATTATAGTTAAAATCAAGAACTACTTGTTTGAAATGTTTAAAAAAACAGAGGATGTTAAAATAACATTTTTGAATCATTTATTCCGTATACCGAAATGTTTTATCGCTAACAAAATGTAGACATTTAGTTAGAAACTCCTCGACTTTAATGTGTTTCTATTACAGAAACAAAAATCTAAAAAATCGCTGTTCTCATCTTGCCCTCTCTTCAAAAGAGGTAATAGGACCAAAGCGATAGTAAGTACACAATGTAACATAAACGGTGAACGAAAATAAAACCCACAAATACTCAAAGAACAGCAGCTACGTGTTATGATAACATCCATCACTTTACATAATACGAAGATACTTCAACAAGGTGCAAAGAGAATATGGGGGGAATTTATAATAACTTTTGAAGGAAATAGTTGATACATAAGATCAATGGTTCTGCGAATCAGATCCATGAAAATACATGTTCCAAATCAGTATGTTAATGATCCATGTTTCAACCATATAATGCACGCCATGGCTCTTTGCTTTCACCTGATTTCTTCTTAGGATTCAATACCACTCTCTCTTCTGAAAACTGCAGACCTGTAGCGCTAGCCAAAATTTCTCCTATAGCATGAATTATCTAGCAAAAACAAACATAAATTAGCTGTTGAAGAGGCGCCAGTTTATTGAATTGAATGATAAAAAATGAAGAATGCCACACAATTTCTTTTTTAGGTTATTGCAAGGAAGAAATAGAATAACTAAGCCAACAGTCCCCCTGTAACCCTGTTTACAGGACGGTAGCCACATGATATGCAATCCATTGAGACCAACCAGTCTCAAAATTAGTAGACAATTTTCTATAGAGATATAAAATAAGCATGCTTTAAAAGTGATGAAGAAAATGAATACCTCATGATGTTTGGAGGATTTAGTGTCCAAATATTGACTAGTTTGTCCAATTAGAAGAAAGGTTGGCAACTGCATTACACGAACAAAGTGAAGAAAAGATGCAAAATTTACATGTTGAATCCATAACGAAGATGGTAGCTCCTGTGTTTTGTTGAGTAATGCCTGCATTATGTCTGTATTTTGACCAATCCGTATACCAAATATTAGAGGTTTGCTTTCATCTGATCCTAGGTATTTAACTTGCCCTTTAACCTTGGAAGATTCCACCAAAAATGGTACCAAAAGTGTTGGCAGGGATGATTTATCAGCAGTAATTTTATTGAGGACCTCATTTAGAGCACAAGCTAGTACTGGTGGCTCATAATGCTCCATAGCCACAATTGAGACCTGAATACGAAAAGTCTAGCAAAATCAGATGTATTTCTAAAGCATGCCAATAACAAATCATCTCAGAAGATAAATTTGTATGGTTTAAGTTTACCATTATTGTAAACTAATTGCTCAGAGTATTAACTCCAACTTTACAGAATCAAGCAGCAGCTCGTAAAATTTTCAGAAAGCCAACCTCAGCAGAAAAATTTATCCAATATAAAGACAATACTAGAATTCACAATTGTTTAAGTTGAAACATCACACGTAATCATAGAAACACCTTGAACAAAGATATGAAAAATCATATCCTAGCAAGGGAGTGTGAAATTAACTACAAGATACTAGACTGGAGAATAAATCAGTTATGATTGATAAATTCTGTTTTCAGAAAGGAAAAAACAAAGATGTTGATCGAGAGAATCCGCTCAATATGCTGTTTCTAAGCAATGGAATCCATTCATTAATTTCATTTAACATCGAAGTAAGAACAGTCTAGTCCACCCACCACAGAACTCATTTGCAACCTTCAACAACCAACCACCTCTATCCATACCAAAATTTCAGATCCAGCATTTGAAAAAAAAAACCTACCCTCTTTGTAAGAGGCTCAAGGATTGTCAGAATGACTTAAGACCTTTTTAGGTTGACTCACCAGGACTCAGCAGTCAAACAAAAGTTGTATTCACTCTCTTCAATGCCACTCCACTCAACAAGAAAGCCAAATTTAACATATATCTGGCAACCACTCACTATCATTTCACAATTTCATCCAAAAGGGCATCTAATTTTTGTGCTTTACAAATCAATTACCATCATATTACAATATCTGATAAAACACGAGAAAAAAGAGTTAAAGGGCGGTTGAGGAGGGTGACCATATAAGCGCCGTGCTCATCAACGAAGTGCGAAACGCTGCCAGATGCTTTGACGTGCTTGATTCCATAAGGCTCCAGGGAGTGGTCGAATGGTTCCTCTCTACAACACAAAAATTCATGAATGAATAATGATTATGAGCTTGAGTTGAGTGAAGAAAAAGAGAAGAAGAATCACCGGCGGGTGAAGGAGGATGAGGTGTTAGGGTGGAGAGCTTGTAAGATAGCGGCGGCGAAACCCTCATCGTCTTTGAACAAGAACACCACTATCGGAGCAACCTTCATTTTCACTCTCTTCTCTTCTCTGCTCTCTCCAAAACACAAGGGCAGATCACCGATTTGGTAGCTTCCGTCGATTTAATCTTTTATGTAAATATTTTGTTCAGACAAAACTTTCTCGTAAATTTAATATTTTAAATTAGGCTTTCTCATAAATTTAATATTTTAAATTAAGCTTAATTAAGTCTAAATTACTTTGATAAGATTAAGAATTTTCGATAGAGTTCCAAATGAATTTTTGTAATTTATTGAAATTTTAAAAATTTAAAATTTTTCAACCCGATTCTTTATATTAATTTATTTTGATTGGATGATGTGATTATTATCCGTCATGTTACTGAGTTTTTATCACATATAATTTTGTAATTTTGTAATTTTATGATTTTGTTATTTTACAATTCTCCAATTTTATAATTTTGTAATTTAAATAGTAAAGAAAAAATAAATAAATTTGAATGAAAAAGAGTCATTCTCAAGGGTTTTACGACATTAGTGGCATATATTTGTATATTTTATCAACTAAACAAATCAAACTAATCATAATTTGAGTTGAACCTATTATTTAACAAGTTCACTCATTTAAGGAAGTTCAATGAATTGATTATCGAATGAAACTTGAAATAAGTTTGAGTTGGTTCTATTTGTTGTCAACCCTGCTTATAACCTTCTAGAACTATGTTTCCACAAAGAAAATGACCTAACAAAGTGTCAATAATACTGAACACACCAATTTATATAAAAACCACTTCAAAACCTAAAAGTGAACAATCCTAAAGAAGAAAGTTTTGAGAGTGATTTCGATCGAGAACAAAATAAAACAAAAGACAAATCTGCGGAATGAATCAAAACAGCAAAGGCTAGATAATTTTGTAAAATTGCACATTCCAACAAGTTAATAAAAATGCCTCTAATACGTAAAAACCCGCCTTTGCCTTTACAGTTACAATAAATAAATGACAGAATGTGCATAACTATCTTCTCTTTTCATTTATGATACTATAAATACCACTTAAAAAAATTATCCAAAGCCATAAAACAGCCTAACAAATGAAAAGGAATGACCAATACACATTTATGACCCTTTTTTCAGGTGGAGCAGATCTCTGATGAGTAAAATTTTGCAATTTATAATCTTCAACTCCAAGGTAAAAGTGGAGCTTACATGACATCTAGATTATCTTAACTTATCGTGTTATGTCTTAGGTTATGTTGATTCATGTGCAATTCACACCCCTTAATGACAGAAGGATCAAAAAGTTTAAGATCATTCTCCATATCCCCTGCTTCCAACTCTAGTACATTTAAGATTGAGTATATATCCTCCCATCTTTGATGAGATTTATCTGCAACACGAAACTCGTGCACTTGTCCATTTAATTCAAGCCAGCTACAACCTGGTGTTTTCTTTAGTCCTCTATCTCTAAGAATACTCCTCATTTTAGCAACTTTGTCCCACTTTCCTGCTGCAGCATATATATTGGAGAGCAATACATAGTTTCCAGCATTTTTAGGTTCCATATTTATAAGCTTCTGAGCAGCAAGTTCTGCTAAACGAGTCTCTGAGTGCATCTTACAGGCACTCAACAAGGGGCCATAAACCCTTGCATCTGACTCCAGTGGAATAATTTTTATTATTTCATTGGCTTCATGGATTTGGCCAGCACGTCCGAGTAGATCAACCATACAAGTATGGTGTTCCTGACAAGGTTGGCAACCATATATTTCCACCATTTCCTTGAAAATCTCTTTGCCTTTGCTAACAAGGCCTGAATTAACACAAGCTGTGAGCAGCCCAAGAAATGTTACTTGGTCCGGTACAATGTTCGATAGTTTCATTTGGCTGTACAATTGAAAACATCTAAACCACTCTCCGTGTTTAGAATACGCACTGATCATTGAGTTCCACGCAATTATATCTCTATGGATACTTTTCTCTTCATCAAAAAGCTTTCTGGCCATTTCTATGCAACCACATTTTGCATAGCTACTAAGAAAGGATGTCTTAAGGGATTTGAGTGAATCAAGACTGATTTTCAAAGAGTAACCGTGTAAATAACTTACACAATGCAATGCCCCTATCTTTGCAAAGGCTGGCAAGATGTTAATGACTATAATGAAGTCAATTCTAGTACCACTCAACTTCATTTTCAAGAATAGAGACAGAGCCTCGAGAGGCTGATCATGCATTGTATATCCTTTTATCATTGCACCCCATGAAACCACAGTCTTGTTCATTATGAAGCCAAAAATCTTCTCTGCCAAATTTAAGTCATCACATGCAGAATACATGTCGATCAGAGAATTGTGAATGGAAACCTGATAATCTGAACCATTTCTTATCACATGAGCGTGCATTTGCTTTCCCCATCCATTATACTTTAACTGTGTGATAGAAGAAATGGCAGGAATTGCCGTGAACAAGTCAGGTCTAAAACCTGATCTAACCATACAATATACAAGTCCTAAGGATTCCTTGGGGAATCCATTCCGTGCATATGCTGAAATCATTATGTTCCAGACTACAAGGTCCTTGTCAGGCATTTTCTCAAACAGCATTCTTGCATCTTCTAGACTACCCAACTTTGCATACATTGACAGCAGTGCAGTATTTACAGCTAGTTCTTCACAGAGGTTGCTCACAACAACAAAGGAGTGTAGGGCTTGTCCTGTCTTCAGAGAGTTCAACTTAACAGTGGACCTTAACAAGCCAATCACAGTACTTGAATTAGGTTGGATATTCTCCTTTCTCATCCTACATAAAAATTTAAAGCTTTCCTCCATTTTCCCATTTTCAGATGCCTCTGAAATCAAGTTATTCCAATAATTCAATTCCATTACATATTTTCCTTCAGCAGCTTCATCCACATTTAAAAAACCATTCATGTCATACAACTCTACCAAAGTTCTTCCCACCGAGTCAAATGCATCCAAACCCAGCCTTACTATCTGCCCATGAACTATCTTCCCTTGTTCATGAGACAAACAAAAGCAAGATCTCAAAACAAAAGAGCAACTTTCTTCATCTGGGTACATGGACTTCCCAACCATCGCTTTGTACAAAAAGAGGGTCTTGTCATATTCACCAGACTGATACAAGTTTCTTGAGATTGCTCTGTAGAGAACAGAATCTGGGTTTTGAATGGAGTAAAAAAGCTTCTGCATTAAGTCCAGGAGTCCAAATTTGGAGTAGCAGTCCATGAGTTTGGAGGAAAGAGATTGGTTTTGGTGGAGGCCATGGAGGAAGAACCTGGCATGGAGTTGTTGAAGGTGCTGGGGCTTGGTGCAGAGATCTAACATAGAAGATGAAGTGCTGAAAAACCTTGTACGGAAGATTCTGGGAATGCTGAAGAGATGTAACAAATGGTGGTGAACGGAGCATTTGGCTGAACCTAAAAACATAAGTTCGGCACGAAGTTCAGAGTAGCCAAATGAAAGGACTAGGATTAATTCATCAGAATACGCATAGAAATCACACAATTAGTATTTTTATACCATTATTATTTAAATAATAATTTATTATCATTACTTACTAAATTATTTATTTATTTATTAATAAGATCATAACTTAATTTAAATACAAGTAGGTTTGTGCATTCTTCATGCTTTCGATTTTGATATTTAAGTCTGTTGTATATTATAATAAGATAAATATAAAAAAAAAATATTTCAAATTCATAATTTAGTTCTGATTAAAACCATCCTTTTAGAATTTATTTAATATTAAACTTATACAAAATTAATTAAAACATTTCAAATCTAAAAAGTTAGTATTATACTTTTATCTATGTTTAGCTTTGGGTAAAACATTTTTCAGAAATAAGAAAATATAATAACTTTCTTTTATAAAACAACTATATATATATATATATATATATATATATATTATTTGGTGAAGTATAGTTGTAAATAAAATAAAAGACTTGAACGGCAAGATTACAACAGTAATTAATAAAAACATCATTCATATGCCAGAATGCAAATGCAAAATTGAAAAAAAAAAAAAGTTATAAAGCTTGAACTCACTTTTTGCCACTTTAGCTAAAACTTCTCTATAACCGCTGATATCTTACAAGCCTTAATTCTTTGTATTTCCTCCCTGCATGTATTCAAAATAAACAAATTTATATGATGCATAATCAACAATATAGTCTACCTCATACAGAAGTTAGCCTCATCATCAACCTTATTTGACAGCTTCTACACTATTATGCTCGTGTATTACAATTCAGTAAATTAAATTTACAGCAGCAAGCCTCATCATATTAGTGAGAAATTGATGTTCACAATTATATGCCAAAAACAAGTAATGTAGGAGTTACCAACTAGCAACCAATGAAATATTTAAACCAAATATAGGTAATAAAATATGAAATCACATACCTCACTCTACCAAAGCTTCTTAACTTGTAATTGGACCAGCTTTCAGTCCCATATTAAACCTTCTTTTCCTGGCAGCAACGAATTGCTTTAGTATATAAGAAAGACTTAATATCTATTTTAGTTTTTATATTTGGTTAAGATGGTCCTCAAGTTTTCCTCAATTTTCAAAGTGGTTCATTCTTCTATTAAAGTTGTTTAATTTGGTCCATAGCATTTAAATAGCCAAATGTCTATCTTAACTAATATCAATAAGCGGTCATTTTATAAAATACTAAAATATGTGACAAAATAACATTAAAAGACGTGACAATTTTTATTATTAATTTTTTTCATTTATTAAGATTTTTGTTCTTTTCTTGCTACATAAAGAGCCACCACAAGGTTAGAAAGGAGCAAACTGTGCTGCCATTAGCCACCACGAACGAACCAAAACATCTACGGACCCAAAATCACATCATGACTTGCGTCTTCTCCGTCGCACACCACCAATGTAAATCCCAAAAAATCTCTAAAATGCAAGATCAACCGTACGTAAGAACGGATTAGTTATGTGAATTAGAGTTGAACAAACGGAGTAAAGAGAACAATTGACCTCCATTCCACACTCGAAACACCTCTTAAAATTCATGAGTCAAAAGGAAAACTTTCGTCACTGATATTATACATGAATGGTTTATCATTATTAAATGCATGTATTCAAGCTACACAGGTGACAGTGTGAAAAGAAAAGAAGAGAATTTGAGGCATGCAGAATATTTCATAGCAACCCCGAATCGTCACCTGAAGCAAAGAGAGAGGGAAAAGAAAGAAAGCAATAATGTTCCAAGACTGAAGGTGTTTGACAGTGACACTAGAAATAAGAACACGGGTTGAGGGTGAGGGTTAGGACCAGTATTCCTTTACCCTAGAAATGAGTCTGGGTATGTAAATCTACCATTGCCCGTTCTGAAAAGGCAAAGAATATGACTTACCTAAAGGCAAAGAATATGACTTGCCTAGGAAAAGGAACAACTAGCCCCTTCAACAAGGTACCAATACTAAAAATAAACTAAAATATGAAGCAAGTAAGAATCAGGATGAGGCATATTTGGTCTTGCCTTGAATTTGAAGCATGAGGCATTATCTTTACAACCTGCATGGCCCTTTTGAAGTAGCAGCCTTAGCAAGTAAAGAACCTAACCTTTCATCTACTTCTCCCATATATAACACCTCCTTCACTTCCACATAACACATCCTTCTTCTCATTTTCAGCCTTTCACAACCTTTTAGCCTTTCTCTTTGTTCCTTCCAACCAGCTTTTTTCCTTGTCTACTTATATGGCTAACGACCAGATGAAGCCCATTGCCACCCTTCTTTTGGGGCTCAACTTCTGCATGTATGTCATAGTTTTAGGCATTGGTGGATGGGCCATGAACAGAGCCATAGATCATGGCTTTGTCATAGGTAAATAAATTATCCTATCTTTCCTTAGTACAAGCCCCTCTCATTTTTATACTCTTTGCATCGAATCATAAATTGCTATGTATGATTTTTTATAACATTTTCCTTATAACTCTTATCTGTCATGGTTTCTGACTAGTTGACAGTACAAACTTTTCACACTGATAATACATAATTTGTCTCATACAAATATTTAAAAACAGAATATGCACAGTAATAACTAGAATTTCTGTAGTGATGAGTGAATTAAAAAATTATTTTGTGAATGCAGGCCCAGGATTTGATCTACCTGCTCATTTTTCACCCATATACTTCCCAATGGGAAATGCTGCCACTGGATTCTTTGTAACGTTTGCTTTGATTGCTGGAGTTGCTGGCGTTGGATCATTAATTACAGGAGTCAATCATGTCCGTTCATGGACTTCCGAGAGCTTACCATCTGCAGCTTCAGTGGCTTCCATTGCATGGGCTCTCACTGTTCTTGCCATGGGGTAATCTCTTCCTCCAACTTCATACTCTAACCAAAAACGACACCATATCCCAAGAACATCATTCGGATTTTGCAGTTAATACATTTGTCTGTTTGTTTAATTTTTTATTAATAGACAAAGAATTTATTAATACTGGTAAATTTGAAGACTAATTTATGTCTATTATTCTCTCAGTGATGATATAGCCATCATCAAAGTAATTTTGCTTTGCATTGATAAAACAAGTTTTGTTGTATCATGTTACTTACTGATATCACTAACATATAATTATGCAGTTTCGCCTGCAAAGAGATCCAGCTTAACGTCAGAAATTCTCGCCTGGTAAGAATAAAAAATTCCATTACTTACTGTCATTTCGTTATGCTTTAGTTCAGATTTTAAATTTTATCATCTGCCAAAAAGTAACTAAGTAATTTTATAATTTTTTATATTATATATACTGATTAATCTCTTTAGTCAATTATTCTAATTGTGATAAATATTTCATAGTCTTACTCATAATTTTATATATAAATGGATTTTGAATGAAATATAATTAGAGAATAATTTCCTTCACTTAAAAGACTTGGAATGTGGAACTTTTGCAGAAAACAATGGAGGCTTTTATGATTATCCTTTCTGCTACACAGCTTTTTTACATAGCTGCTATCCATGGTGCTGCTTCAATCAGGAGATAAATTTGAAAGTATTGACGTGAAGTTGTGGTTTTCATTGTTTATTTATTATTTTTCTCCCCTCTGCTTTTCTTAATTACCTCTTATTTATTTATTTTTTTCTTTTCAAACTGGTGTGATTATTAATTACATGAATGGATTTGTATTGAGAAAGAATAAGTTGTGTACAAAAGTAAAGAACATCTTCTATACCATTTTCTTTCTTCTTGAATATTTCTAGAAGTACGTTATGTCGATTACAGAGTGAGAAAGCTAAATTCATTTTAGCTTTTAATTTTCTTGTCTTACACTATTTATTGAAAGGATTATCCAAACAAAAAATGTGATGCCTTTTAGAAACACCGACGAACTATAGAATACAAATATGTTGCCTTTACAAATTAAATATCCTTTTAAACCTACAAATTATGCAGAAAGTTATACAGAAGCTTCTCATGTTATAGTATGAAGAATTCAAAAGTATGGAGTTAAGAGTCATATATTGAATTAAGATGAGCGACATAAGTAATACATAAAGAAAAAGGTGTATATACTTCTAAGTTGTTGAGTTGGTAGGAATATGAAATGTTTATTTTATGTTTTAGAACTCATCAACACAAAATTTTAACGAATAAAATTGAAAAATTGTAGAGAGTGAAAAATTAGACAAAGCCAAATTTTTGTAACACCGAAATGAGATGAGAATTTTCATAATTCTGTGTACCAATCTCTTTAATCAACTCATTACACCAAAATGAGCTTCCTTAGTTAAGTTTTTCTGAATAGTTTCTCCTTTCCTTTGTCTTTCTTAAAACCTTCAAGAAAGTCACTCAAGAGACTTAAGGACCATTCTAATCACTCAAGATACTTAAGGTATTTCCTCATGAAGAAAATTCCCACATGTTTCCATCATAAAATAATGATAAATGATGAACCAAAAAGGGTTAAAATAACATCATTTCAATTAGTGTTATTTCGTATTCCTTTGTCCAATTTTGTAATGGAACTAATAATCCAAGAATGCGAAATTTCTTAATTCGCTAAGTTTTAGGAGAACCAATTGTAGAACATATGACTAGGTACCCAATTGAGTGTGTGCGGACGACTTTGAATGAGAGAATATGAAGATGAAATATTTTCATAGTTCATTTGACCAAAAATATATTTACTTGGTAGCATTTTCTTCCACCATCTCTACATTTTTTTTCTCCCAACCCAATAAATGTAGTTACTAAAATACCTTTATCCATCAGCTGATACGGATTTGTTGTTTTTGTAAGATTACTATTTTTTTTAATAATAAATTACAAATTAAGTAATCCAAGACAATTTTTCAAAACAAGGTTATGAATTAGAGATTTTAAAACTATAATTTGAATTTAGAAATATACAATTACACAATCTTAAAATATATTCCATACTCTGGGATTATAGAATCCATAATTATATTGTAGATAATTGGTTATTAAATGAATCATAACATAAAATAATTTGGATAGGTATAATAGGACTAGAATTTTCTATTCAAAAGCTAGTACCCACCACTCACTCAGATATATGGAATAATTCACTGATAAAATTGGCAGATAAATAAAATTTACAAACAAAAAAAGGTATTCATTATAGGAACACTAAAGGAAGTCATATAGAAGACTCATCTTGCATGAGAAAACCAGCTAGGGTTGCAAATTATGCATTATTTTTATCCTATGTTTATATGATGATAAAATTAAACAGGTTACATAGTACATAAATAATCTGATCAACATTAAATCTTCACATAAAAGTTTCAAGGTTACATGGTAGAAATGAGGGAGATAAGTCTAAGAGAACGATAATATAATTGCATAGTTACAAAAATGTAGTTTAAAAAGTTTCAAGCACTTGAGTATATTGAGTTGAAACTGTTGCTAACACAATTACTTACGACAACAAACTTTTGATGATAAACCTCATGAATTATGTAGTTGGGTTTCTGCCCATTATTGTTTGGAAAATCTTAACAACACATCTACATTAAAATATCACAAAATTTTATCAATGAAGTCCTAAGTTTTCACTAAGTCTGATCCATCAGATGAGATCCCCGTGCTTGTATTTCTGCAACAGAAGCAAGTGGCCAATGTTGTCAACAAAAACTGTACATGGTGGTTTCAAAATGTATGCTGATAAAAGACCTCCAAAATCAGAATTGTAGAGAGAATATAGAGACGACTCTCTAAAACAGAACATGCAAACAATTCTTCTAAGTGAGGAGGCACTCTTGATTCTTGAAACCTACAGAATCTGCAGTCTTAGTTCTTTAAATTCACTTTACCAAGATGAATTGAAAAAAAGCAACAGAAGGTTAAAACAATAAATAAATTAATAATCTTTTTCCCAGTACAAGACTCCAAATTCAGGTACTCGATCATCATGCTACAAATGCACACAAATAAGAGTATTCCTCACCTCAGTTGAAATCATTATCAAGACTCAGGCTTCAGAATATTAAGAAACTTTATTTTTTTTAGGAAAAATCATATAATTCCTGTGCTACATTCTTATAGTAATCCAAATGACAACAAGGATTCTAGAATCAAAATAATCTGTCAAACCTTCATAATGTAGTTTTGTCCTAGTCCGTCCGGGATAGTATAAAATTCAATCTTTACTAACCCAATCTTGAAATTACAAGACTGTTTTGAGTCTTGAGCAGATAGCTAGAGCCTTGACATAACTTCAATTTAAGCCAATAATTTTGTCACACTTCATGCACAATAGGCCTTTCTGGGAGATAGTAAATTAGAAAATCTATTCTAGAGCTTATATATAACAACTCATAATTTCAGGTCAAGTATTTAAACAGTTATTTCTTCTTCGTAGCCCCAAAACATAGATGTTATGGACACAATTAACTTATGACTGTGGGAACAAATTTGTGGGTCTCAATGTACTCTCTATTTCCAAACCAACAGCCACAAATTTTAAATCATCCATACTTGCTTCCTGATTACATTATGATTCACTCCACATTTCTTATATTGAATTTCAGTTGACACAACTATGTCATCTCCTAATCTTGCGTTGCATACTCCATTAATAAAAATAAATAATAGAAGTCATAAATTTAAATAATAAAAAATAAAAAGATGCCAAAAAAGAAGGGCAAAATTATCTGAGCAATAATTGGAGAATACAACATAACCAGCAAACTAAGCATTGAAAACATAAAAATAGAAAATGGAAAAAAATTGGACCATTTAAGAACAATGTAATAGGGTAAGCAACTTAACAATTGCAAACAAGCACAAGGAAGCACACACACATATATATATATGACAAGATAATCTTATGCAAGCTTCAAAAATATAATTTTCCAAGACAGAATAGTTCCCAACCTCAACTTATCTGTTGGAGCCAGACACAACATCAAACAGTCCACAGCAACTCAACCAGGAAGTCTTCTGCATCACAGGCGGGACTGATGATACAAGAGGCTGCATATTGATTGATTCAGCAAACAAAAAGATTTAATGTAATTGTCCAACAAACAAAAGATTATCACTGCCAAAAGTGTCTAAACTGATACAGACACACACACACACATAAATATATAATAAAAGCACTGAGAAAGATGTAAGAACCTGGTTTTCAGAGCTTTCTGGAGCATCAGAATCTTTAACATGTTCTGCAGCAAGAGTAGATTCAGGGATAGGACTATGAAACACTGTTGCTGATACTTCATTGACAAATTCCCTTGCCTTAGGTTCCTCCAAACTTGGTGTTCTGACATTCTGATCAGTGATTGAATGCTCTTCATCCTCATTTTTCTTCACAGCAAGATCAGTTGCTTCTACTTGAGATCCAGTTGGTTTCTCTAATGAAGCATTATCATTATGAATGGTTTGCCCCTCAGGTACGGATGCCACTGGTTTAACTGGTTCATTAGAAGGTTCTGCAACCGAATCAGCAGTCTTCTCAACCAGAACGTTTTGAGTAACTGGCGTCACTTTTGCATACAACGAATCCTTCGATTTAACCAACTCATCAACTGCAACGGTCTCATTTATCGAATCATGTGACTCATACTTTGAGTTTTTCACAATTCCGGTTTCATCACTTGAACTATCAGATTTTCCATTCCCATGATGGGATCCCTTGGCAGACTCAACATGCCCAGCTCTCACATCTTTGCTCTCAGAACTCTCCTCGGATTTCACATCCCACTCTATAATAACAACACCTTCTTTTCCCTCCTCAGTTTCACCGATCTTAGCCTCCAAATCCTTAGAAGCACCAGCATCAGATGGTTGAGCAGCTGAAGGCTCTCTCTCCTCCTCCTCTTCATTGAAAGCAAGATCATGGTCTCCATGTGAAGGTGAACCACCCTCGCCGCCATCACTTCCTTTCTCATCCTGTGACTTCCCCTCATCATTCCCTAACATTGGTCATTGAATCAATCAGTTTTAATACCACCATCAATCAAACAACCCCAATTACCCCCAAACACCAACAATCATAAAATCCTTCCGTTACAAAGCAAAATCTAATCTTTAACAAAAAAGGAGTCAATTTAAAGATACCCATCTGCCCAAAATTACCAAAAAACACCCAAAAAGATAAAAAATCGAAAAGGGTATGCTTTGCATGAATAAAGTTGAGCAGTGTACGGTGAAAGACGGTACCTTGAAGGTTGGTAGTTGAAGGGTTGGTGTTAATTTCCGTTTCCTTTTCCTTCTTTTTCTTGGCAGCTTTCCTCTTCTTAGCACCTGATGGCATGATTGAGGGTAGCGACTAAAATAGGGGCAGCCTCAAATGGTGGGATGTTGTCCCCTCACACTCACTCTCTCTCTCTCTCTCTTACTTTTTATGTGTGGGCAATACAGAGATATAGAGGAGCTCTTGTAGAGACAAGTTGCACAAAAGAAGTAGGTAGGTTGAGGAAGGGGAAGAAGAGAGAGACCTTGTTTTTTTTTTTAAATTACAAAAATTGAGATCTTGTGTTAGAAAATTGGTAATAGGAAAACGATGGGTTCTGAGAAGGGATATATCCTTCACTCCGTGCTGACACTTGGATTCTGTGACTCACAAACAAATGCAGATTCTAATATTTTTCATTCAGATAATAAAATATGCAGATTATGTATTAGACATAATTCTTGTTGGTTATTATTATAATAAAATATGCAGATTATGTATTAGACATAATTCTTGTTGGTTATTATTATAATAATCATTTTAAAATTCATATTAAGAATTAAGAATGTATATAA